CTTTTAACTAAAATTCGCCCACAATACTATAAACGTAACTTTTTTACGGAGGGTTAAATAAAAAAATATTTTTTTAGCCAAATTAACATAGAGTCTTCGTCACCCTTCTTACTAGTTTGATTAAATGGTATTTATAATCAAAATTTATAATCATAGCCTTATAAATCTATTATAATTTATAAACATAATCACTCGTAGTTTTAATGGTTTAATTAACTTTTTATTTAAATATAACATTTTAAAAGTAGTTTATACATTTAAAATGATAAAATTTATAGTTTATACTTTTGAATAAAAGTGTCTTAACTAACAATAGTTTGCAACTATTTTAACTACAGATAATATCAAAACTATTTAAAAATATGGTAATAATGGTAATAATTAAATACTATTTAAATTAGGACAAAATATTAAGTTGAAACAAAAATCATATTTAATTAATAATTGTCTCTGTCCCTCTTAAATGATACTAATAATAAAATATTGATTAATATAAAAATGAATTAAATGTGGAAAAGTAAAATAGGTAAAATAAAATTAATTCCACAAGTATATCTGAATTAAAATCATATTGGGCTTAAGACTTTATCAAGTACACAATGATATTTTATTATGAAAACAACACGTTATGTATTTCATTGCTTATGCTAAATAAAAAATTATTATTATTATTAATAATATCTTATAATACTCTTGATCAACATATATTTTATGAGTCTTATAGTAATTACGACATTCAAAATATCGTGATCGATTATAACATATTTTGTTTATGGAACATCCAGCTTATGGGCTATTTATATCATGTTGTATTTTCAGCGCTTGTAATCGTTGCTGAATTTCTCTTTGTTCCGATGAATCGGTAGGCATAACATCCATCCCTTCCGGATTAGCATTAATTTGCGAAACCAGTTGTGGTGAACACTAAACAAAAATACATGATTATAATTAAATTCTAATATGAATTATTGTATAGCCAGACAGGGGTTATGGAAGAGAGGGGGCCAAACGATTCTATAAACATTATTCATATCTGAATTGTGATTAAAAATAACTTCTAAACACTTGAAACCACGAGAAATACTAGTTATAGGTTACAAAAAAACATACCCCCGATTTTTGCTCCTGTGATGGCACCGGTGTCGGGCCAGATATACCTGGCATAGATGCACTTTGCTTTAGTAGTTTCATGTAATGCTGTTGTGACTGCAAATGATAATTAATTCATCAAATGATAAATTCAATGGCAAATCAATGCAAACTTACTGTCGATTGTTGCTGTTGTGGACTGAAGTGGTGTTGCGGTGTCGGAGGCGGTTGTGATGACTGGTGAGACATACTGGCCATAGAGGCGATACGTCTCTTAAGAATGTGGGCCTGTTGTAGGCGTTGCTGGAGCTGTTGTTGTCTCAGTTTGTGCCTAATATTATTACAGTAGGGAACGGGACACTTGTTTTCCAGACAGTGTTTGGCGTGATAACAGCACAGGGCTATCAATTGTTTGCATATGGGACAGCCGGGAGCAGCCGTTTGGTTGGGTTGGCTGGACTTGCGTTTGCAGGACTTGGCGTGTTGTACGACTCGCTTCATCTTATGACACGATGGGAGCCGACAGTTGGCGTCACTGCACTGACACGCGTGGACCAGACTCTGTATGCATCGTTGGATCGATAGGCGACGCGTTTCGCCCTTCACCGGCGGTGCGTTCGACGAGCCGTCGCCGCACGCGTTCGCTCGGCCAGTATTGCCATCCTGTTTCGCTACCGGCGCCACCTCTACCCATTGGCCTACAATAGCATCGCACAAAAGTTTAATATTATTGAAAACAAGGTTCACACAGCGGTGCTATTCGTTAACCACAATTCGGGTATTACTCAAAGGAAGATTAGATACTATGTCGTAGAATTTAGCTGTAATTTTATAGAAACCTATGTTAAAGCATTCTTACATTAATTTAACATTAGTCGCATAGAATTAATATGAAGAAAAACTACCCTTTCCCTTCATATTTCGCTTTCCCATAGAAAATAATTTCCCATAGGATTAACATTACTCATAGGATAACATTAGCCCATGTTAAGTCTATGGAAAAAACTCCATAGGATTAGCATTACCCGTGTTAAAGTATAGCCATAGACTTAAGCTGTAATCCCATATTAAATCACAGCAACCAGAACGATCCTATAAACCACATTATTCATAGCTGAATTGTAGTTAAAAATGATTTTAAAAATAATAACGGTCATAACGTGGTGACATACCTATAAATGTAAGCTGATCCATGGGATGGGTGTGACCGTGGCGTTGATAACAGGCCACACAGAGATCAAAGTGATCGCATTGACCGCAATGATAGCGTATGTCGACTAAACGTGTTTCGCACGTACGGCACGTGTGGATAGAAATGCCATCACTAGTACTATCGCCCGATTCGTTAAGCATTTTTTATTAAAACTAAATTTTATATTAAAAATTCAAACCTTTTGTTCTTAACAAAGTAACTTTTTAATATATTATATAACCATTTTAAAATGCAACTTACGTTGAAGTTACGATTTATTCTATACACCATACATATATTACGCAATCGTATTGTGACCATAATCTTAGTTTAACCCTTTACTTATAAATTAATGGATAATTAGCTATTTGTGATTTAATTCAACAGCTAATTGTTGTTTATTTTGACAGCAAATAGCTTTATAGTATAAAAACATTTTATTTCTGACAATCATTACATTATTTTCACGAAATATTTTATTTAACTTTTCCAGAAAACAATTGTTTTTTTTGTGCTGTTTTCCTATTATTTAAAATTCAACTTTTATTTTTATTTAATATTAAAAATAATAATATTGTGTACTTGTTGCTAAACTACTTGTTATTATAATTTATAAATAAAACTGTGGTTTAATTAATTCATTGGTTAATGGCTTATCTGTAATCTTGTATTAAACATATTATTTTAAAAGTTTTATAACATTATAAAAATAATTACTCGTTATTTTAATCGTTTAATTAACTTTTATTTTAATTGTAACATTTGTTTAAATTGTTTATACATTTGAGTTTATACTTTGCATAAAATTAAATAATAATAAAAAACTTATCAAAATTAAAATCAATTTTTACGGACAATACATGTAAGGATAGGATAAATTGAGACACAAAACAACACATTTATTTATGATTTATAAGTACTATAATATTATACCGGTAGTATAGTTTTAATATGGATATGATTATGAAATTAATTATATTGTTTTGGGTTAACATTCTTAAGCATAAGAAACTTAAAATTTTAAGTTTAAGTCTAACTAATTTTAAGTTTCAAATAGACGTTACAATAGACAGTCAAAATAAAATGACAGAGATTAGAACTTTTCTGTTTATAATAACACATAGATTATGGGCGATTTATATCATGTTGAATTCGCAGCGCTTGTAGTCGCTCTCGAATCTCTATTTGTTCCGCTGGATCGGTGGCGGTGTTCATTGCATCCATCCCTTCCGGATTAGCATTAGTTTGCGAAACCAGTTGTGGTGAATACTAAACAAAAAATACATGATCAAAATTAAAATGTCAATTATTGAATAGCAAA